AAATCTGCAAGGGGATTTTTCCCACTAAGGAACCAACCCCTTGTGGACATGTGAGTCTGTATTTTCCTTGCACAAGGACCTGCGTGCTGCTGTGTCTTGAAGGGACTCAGATATGCTTTAGGTCTATGAATGATGGTTGGTGGGGACCAATTAAAGGTATTGACCTAATGACTGCCATGTGGGCTGTGCAACACTCTCTAGAGGGTGTTTGAGTACTGCTATCCTTTACCATCTGTATCTATTTTTGTGTTGAACTCATATTTACTGCTATCCCTCTCCTCGGTCAGTTGCTACACTTTCACCTTCAGATCATCTTCGCCTGACTAAAATATAATATTAACCTGCTAGACCAATAGTCTCATTTTCCAGCTCCATTTTGACCCAGATCATGCTTAGCTAGTTCTTAATCTAAGGTTTATTCTGCTACCATCTAGAAATTGCCTCCTGTCTGCAATACAGTTTTTCTAATATGCCTGTCACTTCCTGGGCCAGTGTTCAACAAATTACTCAATTTTTGTTCTTGTAGATAGTGGATATAGTGCCAATTTAAGTTTCTTTTGCCCATTTTTTGTGTGAAATGGACAGCTTGTGTAGTCTGTGGAAAACAATTTTAATAGGCTTGTGCCACACTCTGAAAAACATTCGAGAATGTGCTTTTAAAACTGAACCAAATACAGCCAAAATTTGTGGTTAAAGAAATAATTTACATTTCCTGTCATGTAATTACTCTGATTCATCTCTTGAAACACAGATTAAAAGTAGTGTTCTGGTCCTTAAGCCTATTTTTCTTTTGGGGGGGGGGATTTTTGCATACAGAACGAGGGAACAATTATTGCCTCCAATAAATGCCATGTCTGCAGTTTGGTACAGAAGGGCATGATATTCATAGGGTTCTCTAAAGAGCAGAATAAAATAGGCAAAAATCTCATATTGCTTTATTTTTCTTTCAGTTTCATCATTGGTATTTATATGAATGCCTTAAGCTTATCTCAAATTCTCTTTTATTAAAGCCACTTTTGAGCTCACCCTAATAAATATCAGCTGTTTTGTTTACTTCCCTTTTGAAACAAAAGTTAGCTATGGTGGGCAGGAAGTTATATTACTTCTAAAGTGTGTGAGCACAAGAAAAAGGTAAGTTATTTTTTCTGTCTCTACAGCCATGCAAAGGTCTGTTGTTGAATGGGGTTTAAATTACACACACAAAATGAAAATTCAATTACACACACAAAAAGCTTGCAATGAGTGAGAAACAAACAGTTGCCCTTGGGAGTTTCTCTGTTGAAACGATCCTTCCAGCCAGCCCTAGCTCTTTATTTCTCTGTCACAGTGTTGCTGGTGCAGTAAAGCAATGCTCTTTAGACCACAGGAGGTTTATTCAAGGGCAGGGTTATTTTCTGGTATGAGTCCACAGAGTCACATTTCCGGGTTTTCCCCAGCACTCCTGAGGACAGGAGGGTTTCCTTGCTTCCTAACAGTGCCAGTAGGAGCAATCAATGCACCTTGCTTCCCAGACTGTTAGCATGTGCCAAACAGGGAGTGTTTTATTGCCCCAGATAGATGCTGAGACCAGGCTAGCCTGTTCTCTCACTCTCTCAGCCCTTATTCATGTAGTAACTGCCTTCGAGAACTCTTTGCATAAGGCTTTGCATGAGTTTGATATTGACTTTGACCAGCAGCACTTAGTCTTTCAAAGGAAATCGAAGGGCACTTGCGTCACTCCTGATGCTGGGCTGTGAGGACAGATGCCTGTCCTGCTGCCCAGGTGTCGTGGCTGCGACAAGCACTGCGGCTCCGTGCCAGGCCCATCCCAGGTGGACTCCCCAGACAGCCTTGAGCTCTGCTTTGATATCTGGGTTACAAAGAGCACATTAAGACTGCTGAGAGGACAGCATTGTTTGCTCTTGGGTCTGAGGCAAGCTTGTTAATGCTGTAAGTACACATGTAAAGTAGCAAGGCATCGCTTTTCATTGGGATGAAATTTAAGTCATGTATGGATGCAAATCCAAACCTTTCCGGCAAACAAAGTTGTCATTTTTGATGGCAAAGGTGATTGACATGACTGAATTAGGGGAATGATTTTAAATAATCTCTACTATCTACAAACAAAAAGAAAGTATTGTTCTCTCAGCTTTTTGTACAAACAGCAGTGTGGCATATCAGCTGTACATACAACTCCTGCTCCTTTCCCTTCTGGTCCCACATCTACCCACGCAGAGCTGTAAAGCTGGTGCTCCAGGAGAGCATATTGGTCTGAAATCTCAGGCTCTGGATATGCATAGAAGCCAAACCGAGAGAAAGACCAATCTCATCTGCTGCTTTTTGCCCCAGACTAGAGTTACAGAATCTCTCTTGGCTGGAAGGGCCCTGGGGAAGACACCTCACCCAACCAGCCATTGATGGGCTCCACCGCCAGCATGCTTTGAAAGGATAGTGCTTGTGGATGTGGGGGAAGGGGACCTGCCACCACTGAATAATTCATATCTTAGAGTATGGACTAGAACCCAGAGGGTGAAAGTCCGGGGAAGTCGGGTTAGTGATTTCCTGGTCACCACAGGTGGTTTTTCCATGACGAAAATGAAGCGTATTGGCAAGCACGAAAGGAAAATGCACACTGCTTAATGCCATGCTTCACTACACTGTAACGAGAACTCGTTTACGAGGTGTCCCTGAAACCTCTCCTACAAACACCAACTTGCTCTAAAGCAAGTGCAAACAGAAAAAGCAGCCTGGTGATTGTAGGTTTTTACTAACAATAACATATGAAGGAGAGAACTGCTTCAGCTTGTCACTATCCTTTGAGATGGGACAGAAACAAAGAAAGACCAAATGGATCTGTTTAGGCTGCCATTTCTGTTGAGCTAATTGGAAGTTGGCAGAGCAACTTCTGCAAGATTGTTGAACAGTTGTAACAGAGCAGGGATATAGCACTGAACGCATGCACACGTGCTCAGGTCTCTTCCCCACACCGTATACTTCATGCACAACTCTTTGAGCTACTCTGCCCGTGGCCCTGAAGCTGAAAGTGATCAGCTATCAGATTATGTGCTTGCCAGCCCTCTGTCCCCCAGCTGAGCCTTTTCAGCAGATTCATTGGATTTCTCTTCAGTTGTGAATCCCTGAAGTGAGACTGCCAGTTGCTGGCTGTGAGTGTATGCAACGACTTATCCCTAAGATGGAAACAAGGCAAACTGGCACCTTTTTTCCAGTAGGATTATCAACCCTCATCAGTCACATGTCATACTTGCAAACTAAATTAACAGTTTTCCATGTCAACTGACTGTTTGTTGCCCAAGCTCAGCTGTGATTGCAGAGAAACAATGCAAATGTTTGCACACACAAACACCAGGCACCTAGGCAACAAAATAGGGGAACCTGACCTACTTGTGCAGGATGTGAAACCAGCTGTTGCAGGCAGGACAGAGACATGGTCGAGCAGCAAAAGACAGTAGAAGACAAACGTTAAAGGGTAGGCATTGCTGAGAAACAAAGGTATAAGGGCAGAAGTAGAGGCTGTCAGTGAATATCAGTCATATAAATTATTAAGGGATGCTGTAGCTAACAGAAAGTTGATTTGGGTCCAAATCTTTTGGGGGAAGTAAGTAAAACCCCCCTTGAGGTATTGCTGAGAACTTGCTTTCCTCTCACACCACTAAACCTGGAGGTTTTCCAGCACTGGGACAGCAGGAATTTAGGAGGCCTGTTTAAAACGTAATTCATCCAGTGAAGCTGAATGTATCGTGTGCTTCCACTGGGCTATTTCCTGTTTGGAAGACTGAGAGCAAAGGTCCCTGATAAGAAATATCTAAACAGGCTGACACAGAGCCTTTGGACCGTTCTTCAGGAAGTTTTGAGCATGGACCCTGGTTTTCCATTGATATTTTTTTTTGAATGATGCCCAGATAGTAGTGGATGATTTTAAGGGCTGGAGTCCTAGAAATGAGATGAAATTCCATACCACAGGAACTCAAAAACAAAATCTTCCACTGCAAATTGGGAGTTTGTGAGTTGGAAACAAGTGACTTGGAAGGGAAGGGATGGCTGAGGATGTTGTAGAATGGCTGTTGCAGAATGGCTGTGAATATGGCCGTTCTGCAAGTGTGATGCTAGGATGCAGACAGAGGTGAAGAGTGAAGCAGGGATTTCCATCAGAGATTGGAAGGAACTGGAGCCACAGCCACAGTGGTTTCCCCTGGGGCAGGGAGCACATCTGGTTGCTGAGGAAGGAGGAGCACAGGCATCTCCAGCTGCAGGAGCAGGCAGTGGAGATGGTCAGGATAACTGGAAACCTTTCGTGTTAGGGAAACCTGGACTCTGGATTTCAGAAGCTGACAAAACAAATGCAATGACAGAGGAGGGCTTCTCTGTATAAAGTATATCCATGAGGTAAATTTGAGGAGGGATTCATGTTGGTACCACATGACTTGTGTTCAGTGACTATGAATACATTGTGGCTGGAAAGTGAAAAACTGACCATTTCCATTAAAAGAAGCAAGCTCTGGGAGTGCCTCCTGTTGTCAACTGCTTCACTCCTTTTCCATCTTCTCAGATGAGGGATGTCACAACCCTGGGGACATGTGAGCTCCCAGAGCTGTACCAGGGGCTGGGAGACAGGGTCAGTGTAGTAAAGCTTCCTAAACCACCATTCCCTCTCCATTTTCCTGCCTTCCTGCCTCATAAATCTACACCTGAACTCATCTATTCATGTTACTGGATTTCTCCTTGTCTTTCTCTCCTCAGACTGAGCAGCCTTTCATTACAGTCTTCAAGTTATAAATAATGCATCACGAAGCTTTGCCCTTTGTTCACAAATGTTGGAGCTGGCTGGAAGCATCTGCATTTCTTGTAGTCAGAGTAATTGCCCAGTTTATTAAAAAATGTACCCAACCTTGATATTTCGGGAACACAGATCTTGGGAGGCTGCCCCAGAGAGAATGAGAAGCCAGGTCTGCGGAATCAAAATGTTGTTTTCCTTCTGAGGACTGTGAAGTTTCCTTTTACAGGAGGCCCCTAGTGCACGCATCCCCGTGGTCCTGCAAGCACCCTCCCTTCTCCATGTCACTGCCAGCACCACTGCAGGTTCTCAGCATGCCAGCCCAGCCACACCTCTTGTCCCAAAAACGAGGGTCCTGCAAGAGTTGCTGCAAGAAGAGCTTGATCAACTCCTTGGGAAGTGCCATGGCCTTCCTTGTGCTCCACAGTCCTCCACAAAGGACCGACCTGATCTGACAGGGGTCAGGAGTATCCAACCCCACAGACGGGCTGAGGATTTTTATTCTGGTATTTATATGCTTTTTTACAGCTGTAAAAGTCTCAGTTCATCTGAATGGAATAGAACGGACAGTTGGCAATTAGAAATTTCCCAAGCTTGGAAGGTTTCTAGAATAACTGAAGACTAAGGCATCATAAACACATATCTTTGAGAGTTTGAAAATGGTTAAATTCTTCCCATCTGGCACCAGATAGATGGCTTTATATCTAAAATGGCTTATTTGCCTGAACACCCTCTGGAAGTCCTTATGATGCATAATAGTTACCTATTAGACTCCACATCCATTTGGCAGGACCACTTCATACATTTGAGGTTGGCCAAGGAGTGCTTTCTGTGTCACTGTGTAAGAAAGTCCATGCAAATCCCTTTCCTGATTTAGATTATATTGCTCCGATTGAAAGTTCAGGAATTACAAGAAAAATGGGCCAAATACATCATTTATCTAATATTAGAGAACATAAAACTGCTAGGATGCAAGCCAGGAGGCCTGTGAGAACCAAGGAGCACTGTATGTTACAGAGAATAATAGTGTGCCTGTGTTAAGTGTCTGTGTGATGCAGGGTAAATGAGAGGTTTTAAAATGTCTTAGTATAGATTGAATTGAGATGAATCACCTTAATTTCAAGGACAGCCTGTCTCTGGCATGGAAAAAGCCAGCCAGTACATCCAAATGCAAGAATGGGGGAGTTTGTGTATTCAGGTCTTCACTCCACCAGGGGCTCTCGACACAGGATGCCTTTTATGCCTCAGAGGTTAGGGTGAAGTGGAATTAAAAGTCAGAATGTTCAGCAGCTTCATGAAAGGAGACTCAGTGCTCATCTTTCTTGCAGTGTCCCCACGAGGAGCTGCTGCACTGAGCTTTCATCTAGCGGGCTCAAGTGTTTGGGAAGGTGTTGGAAGCTTGTGCCAGGGGAGGCATTCAGCTTGTGCCAAGCTGTGCGTTTGTGTGGCCGCGCTGGATCTGCTACCAGGATCTGCTTTGTGCTGGTGAAACATGCAGCCCTGGAGATGTGGGGGGAACTGAAGCCTTTGAGGTGAGTGCATTTTCCTTGTGAGAAGAAACTGAGAACACCATGGTCTGCTGTGGGTGGTAACTGTAATGCTGAAAATATTTGCAGAAGTATGGTTAAACAAGCACTATTTAGGCCTCTGCTCAATAAGTCTTGATCACCCACTAGGTACTGCTTCACTGCCATCCTTCCTGCTCGAGAGAGGCCATGCAGCCACAGCAGCAGTGCTCCAGGCTTGGCTGCTTCTTCTGTCCTCCCCTGATCACACTTAGGGCATGGAGGCATCAGTGCTCTTTGAGCAAGACTTCTTGCCACAAATGATGGATTAACTCAAAATGGCAAAGCTGACTACGTCCTCTGCCAACAACTTCGCATGAAGCTGATCAGAGTCCCAGTGCCTCCCCTGATAGAATTTGGCAAGATCTGATCATTAACTCAGTTTTTCCCTTGTCAGTAAGCTCAGAGGTGCGTCCCACCAGACTCGCTCTGTCACAGCTCCTGATGAGCACTTGCGTGGCAGCTGTGTCTTGGCTGCTGTGCCATCAGTATGCTGGTGACATTCTGCTCTCTGTCTTTTTTTCATCAGATCCAGATGGTATAATTTCCTTTCTTTCCCTGAACCTGGCCAAGACCAAGGGCTGGATGAGAATCAGCTGGAAGGCAACCTGGCAAGAGGGATGCAAGGTGTGAGGAGATGGGCAAGAGGATCCACTGCCATGGCCTGACTGTGCCCACCTTTGCCAATGAGTTTGGCAGTTTTTGAGTATTTCCAGAATCTGCTGGCTCTCAGATTCCCACATGATGAACTTTCCAGCCACTGTCTTTCAACACGCTAGCTCAGGCAACAGGCTGAACCCTGATTTTTCTCAGTTTCACCTTTTGGTTGGCCTATTGCAAGGTGCTGCCTTAACAGCTGCCTGGGACAAGACTGGTGAGGTTTCTTCTAGGAGAGAACCTGGGGACTGCCTGGCCACACAAAGGGCATGGCCAATACCTCATGTCTGCTTCTGGGATCTCCTCTGCCCAATCTACCTCATCACCCTCGCTGTGGTATTTGGGCAGCTCCCAATAGCAAACTGAAGCACTCACTGGCATAAGTCTGGGACCTGGAAAGAAACAGAGCAGGCTGACATTTAAATCAGTCTTTCCTGTAAAAAGCCTGGATTTGGCAACTCCATCTTATTTTGTCTTCATTTATTTATTTATTTGCTTTTTTTTTTTCTTGTTTTAATTGCCTGACTTTTCTTCTGGGGAAGCAAGGTTGATAAGAGATGCTTGAAAAGCTCAGAGTTTCTGCTTAAACATCCTCAAAAGTAGATGGAACTGAATTTTCATATTTATGGAGATTTTATCTAAAGAAAAAAAAATATTTGAAATCCAACAAACTGTTGCCTTTGACAGAGATACATGCAGTTTATGTAGCTCTATCAAGTTGGTCTTTTCTGACCTGCTAGCAGTCCTGAGTACACAGGCATTCAAATGAAGCAGAGCTGACTGGTGTGCAGCACAAGGAATTAAAGCTGCTGAGAAGGTAATCAGCAGAAAGATCCTGTGTGAGGAGATATTCATCCTACATTAGGCACTCTGAAATGTCTACATGCATACCTAAAGTAGCCTGAAGCAGATGGCGTGATTATTTTCCATCAGTGAGCATTTCCAAGAGCCACAGGTACAGCATTTTATATCAGAGCGATGCCTCCAATCTGTACCTTTTTCCTAGTGGCCCGCTTCAGTTTACCTTCTGAAGGCAGGTGTTTTAGATCACACTTCTGATTTATTATTGATGAACATTAGCTGGTAAGCTGGCTCAATGTGTAAAGAGGAGTTTGCTGCAGTAGGGCTTAACAAGGCAGCGTAGGGCAATCAGTTTATTCAGTTTATAGTGATGGAAACACAGACAGTCACTACTGGCTTATTCTGACTATAAATAACCTGTATTTGTCACTTGCAGTACTGAGGCAACCTGAGCAACAGGAAACCTGTGTTTATCGGCAGTTTTAGCTTCCTTCATGCATCACTGATAGTGGAAATGAAACACAGTAAAAAAGGGATGAAAACTCTGCCATCAGCTTCGGCAGAGCTCTAACACACACTGCAAGATGTTCCTGTGGGATGTTCCCATCTGCCTTTACCTACCAGAGCTACAGGAACTTATCCACTGACAACAGCCACAGAGATAGAAATGTTTTCAAGATGTAAATGCTTTCCTGAGTATGAGATCCTACTAGAGATGTCCCTTATCCAAAGATTTAGAATTTGGGATGGTTGGTCTCGTACCTTGTGATCTGAATAAATTACTTCAGCTTTCTGTGCATTGTTTCCTCTCTCCCCACACCAATATAAAGGAGCAAATGGATGCAATGTGCTATAAATTACACATTTCTACACAGTAAATTTTATGCCAAGCAAGTTCCTCCTTCTCTTACCCATTTTCATATTGGTAACAGTTTACACCTTTCTACTGCTTTAAATATTCATTCTCCATGCTTTTTCCATCATGAGTTCTGTTTAGGCTGGCCTTTGTGCATTACAGACTTATAAAATATATTTCCCTATAAACCTTCAAAGAGCTGGAAGTGTGTAAATGAGTGCTTCTGCATGCCCAGAGGGTGCTTTTAGGGTTTGAGTAACCACTGCCCCGGGGGCTGAAAATCCCAACCAGTGTGTTCTAATTCACAGACTGCAGGGCTCCCTGGTGCCTGCAGGTTGATGTCAAAGGGAGCAGAGATCTTTAATGGGCTGGAGACGGTTGGCACTTCGGAAAGTGGGCTTTGGAGACAGAAAATGCTCTTTGAGAGGCAGAGGGGCAGCAGACAGCCTGTGCCACAGTCATAGCTTTTTTCAAGCAAACCTGCTGACCCTCTGCAGAGAGGCCACTTTCCTCCCTGTAGCTCTGTTGACGGAGTTTCACGATTTGTGGCTTTGGGGACTCCTGCTAAACTAATACAGTCATGCAGGAAAGATTTTAAAATTAGTAATAAAAACTTTGGCAAATAGTTGTAGATGAAATCAGCTATTGCTGCTCTCTGAAATAATCTCCCAGGCTCTATCTGCATGGCCTCCACGGCTCAGTGCCCTGCAGAGATGTGCAAGCCAGCACTGCATACATGGTTTGTCCTGCTAGTAAAACTAGGATGGGGAGGGTGACTACAATGATCCCCATGCTGCTTTACATTTCCATTTATGAGCCTATAACATATTCACAGCACACACTGCCAGCATTTTGTCCCTCCTTGCCCTAAACCAGATGTTTCAATGTCCCAGTTTGTGGCTGTGAGAGATAGGGGACAAGTGGGAACACTTGATGCTGGTGTCAACTGGGCGCTGGCGTCACTTGGTATCGCACACTTTGTGTGCTTTCGTGAGAAGCCGGGTGGCTTTGCTGACAGCTGAGCCACAGCCAAGACACCAAAAGGTTAAGGCACAGCTTCTCCGTGGCCACGTCTGCTCTATTTCCCATGGTGCGGTTCCCCAGGGGGCGTGGGGAGGGACGGTCCTGCTGAACCCGGTCACCCGCTACGGTCCTCCCCAAGTGCTTGCTTGGCTGCTTGGTGCTCATCCATATTAGGAGAGCACGAAGCAGAGATTGGGAGCCAGGACTGGGAGCTCTCCTGTCATTCTGTGGCGCGGCTGCTATATTTAGCTGTGGGCACATGGGAATAGCAGCTTCAGTGTGGGAGGGGGCTGCTGGCAAGCAGAAACCTCACTGAATCCACTTGACTCTTGATGGGAGCTCTCAGATTGCGTGCTGCACTATCTTTAGAGGGTCCTGTACAGAAATTAATTGCATTTTCCTATTTTTGCAATAGAGAGAATAGCAATTCAGTTGACATACCTCCACCACAATAGTTCTGCAAATTGCAATTACTGCACAGCAAAATAAAGTCCTTGTTAAGTGTTTATTTACCCTCTTGTTTCAGTCACATGCAAACTAATCAGCAAAAGTGTATTGCATTTAAATGCAATTATGGCAGCCATTATGATGTGAACAACAACTTCTTTGTGTATTTTTTTTTTCTTTTCTTATTCTTGTGCAGTGTTACTTAGAGATGACAGAAAGATACACCTTGTGTTTTAAAAGCCCAAATACAAAAATGAACTGGTACTTTTAGGAAATACTGGACTTTCATTTGCAATTAACACAGGTATATTCCTCTCTATAATCAAACAAACCCCCTTACATCAAGTGACTATAAACAAGAGGAAGCCTCCTAACTGATTAAATCGACAAATAACTTGTCATGGTAGCAGACAAACCCATCTGATCAACCACACCTGTTTTAGCAGAAATACACAGCTGTTCTCAGTCCAGAAAAAGGTTTTCTGGTTTTCAGCAAGAGCTATGTTCTGTGGTTACTTTCCCAATTTTCCACCTGGGCTTAGTGCTCTCTGTGAAGGTCAAGTGACTCCTCCAAAGCCTGGTTCTGAGTCATGGGATAAATTTGGAGCTAGGATTCCCCCTAGATCCTGCTCACCCACGAGTCACTCGACTGCATAATCTCTAGGAAGAGCAGGTGGGGCCAAATCACTGTAATGAAGTCTGAGAAAGGAAATTAGGTTGAAATCCCCTTGTGGAGGCTGATTTCCTCAGCACATCCATGGAGAGGCAGAAATTTGGCACTATTAAGCACTAATGCTTACTTTTCCCCTGAACTAGAAGAAATGGAGGGGCTACAGAGTCCTGTGTTCCTGTTCTGGGTCTTGAATGCCTGTGCCTGTTGCTCTGTCTCTTATCAGTACCGCAGTGTTATTACTCATTCGGCCACAGCTTCGCTCCCCAGCCCTGTATACAATGTGCATGGCAGAGACTGGAGAACCTAATGCAGCTCAAAACAAAGAGAATCACAGAATCATAGAATATCCTGAGCTGGAAGGGACTCACGTGGATCATCAAGTCCAACTTTTGGCCTCACACAGGACAACCCAAAAATCAGACCATGTGTCCTAGAGCATTGTCCAAATGTTTCTTGAACTCTGGCAAGCTCAGTGCCATGACCACTGCCCTGGGGAGCCTGTCCCAGTGCCCAAGCACCCTCTGGGTGCAGAACCTTTCCCTAACCCCCAGCCTGACCCTCCCCTGTCCCAGCTCCATGCCGTTCCCTCGGGTCCTGTCGCTGTCCCCAGAGAGCAGAGCTCAGCGCCTGCCCCTCCGCTCCCCTCGTGAGGGAGCTGCAGGCCGCCATGAGGCCTCCCCTCAGCCTGCTCTGCTCGGGGCTGAGCAAACCAAGGGACCTCAGCTGCTCCTCACACATCTTGTCCTCTAGACCCTTCACCATCTTTGTAGTCCTCCTTTGGGCACTCTAATAGTTTTATGTCTAATAGTTTTACGTTCTATACTGTGGTGCCTAGAACTGCACACAGTGCTGGAGGTGAGGCCACCCAGTGCAGAGCAGAGCGGGACAATCCCTTCCCTCGCCCGGCTGGCAGTGCTGGGCCTGATGCACCCCAGGGTGCAGTTGGCCTCCTGGCTGCCAGGGCACGCTGCTGGCTCGTCTGCAGCTTGCTGCCAACCAGAACCCCCAGATCCATTTCTGTGGGGCTGCCCTCCAGCCTCTCACTCCCCCTCGTCTGTACATAAAGTCAGGGCTGCCCCTTCCCAGATGCAGAATCCAGCACCTGTGCTTCTTAAAATTCATATCGTTGATGACTGCCCAGACCTCTAACTTGTCAAGATCTCATATTCCTTGTTTTTCTTCCAGTGTTGGTCAGCTTCTCACTAGAATATGAAAGTACATGTGTACAGTTTGGTAACAGTATTGTCAGAGTAGTATTTCCTTCACCACCTTGTGATCCCAGGGCTGCGATGCCAAGAAGCACTTCTGCCTGCTGCAGGAAGGAATGTACAGCCTGGGTCATCCTGAGCCACACACAGTTGCTGTCATTTCAAAATGACTAGAAATAATCGTAATTCCCATCCATGCCTGGA